ACGCTTTCCCTTTATTCCTGGACTGCACTTCTCTCCTATGAGTAAATTAGATCCCTATGGAACCCAAGTAAGTTCATTCTCGCCTATACAAGGGAAGGTCCAATTCATCTTGTGACTACAAAACCATATGCAGCCTCTGCTGAGAAGAGCATATTTGTCATGCTTGGAATTCTTTATCTTGGGTATTTTCTTTTGTCTTTTTCTTCTGTTTGGATTAACTTCTTTGTTCATTAACACCCTGTTAGCCCAAGCCCAAATTAACCTTAGGAAAGTTATATCTCACAGTTTTATTCAGGAGTTCACCACAATATAACATTGTTTTATTCAATGTAACACTGAGAGAAGTGACCTGAGAGCAGCATGTCACAGAGGCTAAGAGGCAGACAGGGAAAATTCAGTTTCCTTCCTCCTCACCATCCCCTGCTTTCATCCTATGCACTTCTGGAACCCTATTGTAGAAGAACCTTCTTTGACTTCATAATTTGCTGAGACAAAAAACTCACTGCTGGTGTGGAAAGAGCTCCATGGCAGTAATCAGGGGCAGGAAGGATGTGGATGTACATTACTGGTTGGGATGCAAAACAGTATAGCCATTGTACAAAACAATATGACGTTTCCTCAAAACAGGAAGCATAGAATTCCCATATGACCCAGTGATTCAATTAATAAGTATATGCTCAAGAGAAATAAAGATAAATACCCACCCAGTGGAAAATTATTTAGCCACAAAAACAATGATGCACTAATCTGTGCTACCACATGAGTGAACCCTAAAAACATAATGCTGGGACCAGCAGATGGCATAATGGTTACATCACTTGACTCCCACACACCCTACCACAGTTCAAATCCCAGACCAGGTGGCTTGAAACTCATGCCAGGTGCATGTGTGTGCCCAAAATCCCAAGAAGAGAATGAAGGAGAAGGGATTGTGGCGTGGCTATCCCCTCGGGGATTGATTTCTTGCTTTTCTGTCTCTCTGTCTCTCTCTGCCTCTCCAGCAAGTGCACACACCCTATAGCGAAAATATATCTAAAATAAATAAATAAATAAAATAATGCTAAAGGAAAGTAGTCAGTTACAAAAAGACAAATAATGCAAGATTCCACCAGTAAAAAAATGTTTAGAATAGGCAAATCCATAGAGGCAGGAAGTAGGCTACTGGTATGTAGGGTCTGGGGGGAGAGAGAAGAATGAAGTGTGGGGTTTCTTTCGGAGGTGATGAAATTGTGGAATGAGATCATGATGATTATTGCACGACTTTGTAAATGTATTAGAAACCACTGAATTCTACAGTCTGAAATGGCGAACCTTATAGTACATCAGTCATATCTTAATCAAAACGGAATCCAGAGGACAAACAACTTCTACTCCTGGGGATCAGAGAGGTGTTAGGTAACCTGCCCTGAGACAGCAGCCATCTTCTAGGACACAGACAAAGCTCAGGGTACTGGGTGCTGTGAGGAAAATAATCCATTTTGACCCGTACGTTCACCTCTCAACGTTACTCATTCTAAATCCAGCTAGATACAGTGGTTTGAGAAAGGGAGGGTTGGGCAGTATCTGATTACCTCTCCAGCTCACTGTATGACATGCCCTTGGTTGCAGGATGTAGCCCTGAAGGTGTCTAGGGCCCCATCCTTCTCTGTTAGCTCCTGTGTGGACCCATATAGGACAGATCCAGGGCTCAGACTCACTCCTGCCCCTTCAGAATTTGTAAGAGGTTATTTTCTCATTTTAGTGTGTTAAAATTGTCTCATCACTTAAACAATCAAAAATAAGTGTGTGTGTGTGTACATTTGAAATCTGGAAGCTGTTGTATGTAGGGTCCACCGTCAGTTTAAGGTCTTTAAATGCCATCTGTGCAATTCACTAACAATGTAACCTGGACTTTTGTTTTGAGTCTCAGTTCTGCTTTCTGTCTCTGTTCTGTCATCCATGAAATGGGGATAACAAACACACCAATTTTAATAAGCTATTGTAAGTAAGTTAATACGTATTCCAGCTCAACAAGATCTATAGATATTAATATTAATCTGCCTATAGAAGCACTATGTATACACAGAGAATTAAGCCCTGTCAGAGATGGATTTAACAATGGCATAGAAAGAATACTTACCCATGTCTCCTTATTTCTTACAGGCATTTGACCCTAATATTTAGTCAGAACTCTGAGCTCTGTGTGTTAAATGATGAGGTAACAGAAGAATAGTGATCCTGACCATTCAAATAATTTGTTTTTCTCTTTTATTTTTACACAAAAAAATTAGAAAGCTTCCGATTTAAAGGGTCCCTATTTGTTTCAATTGTTCCCATTGTCAAGGCAGCAGGATAAATAGCTTTCTCACTGACTTTAAACAATGCAAAAAGTCTGAGGAACTGCTAAGGTAGGAGAGGACGAGAAGACTCCTACCAAGGCAGAGGACACAGGGGAAGGCAGTAGAATCTCTGAACTTAGAACATTTTTCCTGTTTAAGAAGTCTTTGCCTACTCCATTGTCTCCCAGAGTTTCCCTAGAGTTTTCCACCAGTAGTTTTATAGTCTGAAGTCTTAAGTTTAGATCTTTGATCCACTTTGTGTCAATTTTTGTTAATTGTTAGTAATGGAAATCCAGATTTATCTTTCTGCAGGTGAATATTCGGTTTTTCCAGCACCATTTGCTAAAGAGGTTTTCTTTACCCACTGGATTGATAAATGAGATCCCCAAAGCACAGACAATAACCCCTAAAATAGACAAATGGAATTACATATGATTAAGAAGTTTCCGCACAGCAATAGTAATTAGTGTGAATCAACAACCCTTGGAATGGGAGAATATTTCTGTAACCTACGCCTCAGATAAGGGACTGGTAACCAGAATACACATGAAATTCAAGTGGCTTACCTGAAAAGAAAAAATTATCAACCCAATTAAAAGATGGGAAAATGAACTGAATAAGCAATTCTCTCAGGAAGATTTATGAACATTCAAAAAGCATACAAAAAATGCTCAATATCCCTCATCATAAAGGAGATGGAAATCAAAACCACAATGAGATACTACCTGAACCCAGTCAGGACTAATATTAAAAAATAAAATAAAATAAAATAAAGATAAGTACTGGTAAGGCTGTGGTGAAAAGGGAGCTCTCCTAAACTGTTGGTGTGAATGTAAATTAATACAGCCACTATGGAGATCAATATGGAGGTTCCTCAAAGACCTACAAATAGAACTATCATATGGCCCAGCAATTCCACTCCTGGGTATTTTTACTCAAAGGACAGGAAAATGCTCAGTAAGAAAAGTGTTTTCACATTTATGTTTATTGTAGCATTATTCACAATTGTTAAGACACGGAACCAACCCAAATGTCCAATGACAGATGAATGGATTGAAAAAGTGTAGAACATATAGTAAGGAATACTGCTCAGTCATAAAAAAACGACCCTGGCATTTGATAGAATGTGCATGAATATAAAAGTAAACTGCTGAATGCAGCAAACCAAACTATGAAAGAGAGACATTGTACATCTCCACTTAATCTATACTATCTGCACTCTATGGCAGAAACTGAAAGATGAGAGGATACAAACCTATGAAAAATGGTTGAGGACACTGGAGATAATGTGGGAAGAGGGTGGGAGATGTGGGTGAGTAAGAGGAAAGGAACCAAGGAGAAAAATAGAGAGACAAGACATTTGAGGGACACAGAAATGGAGGATTGTCTATTGATGATAATGTGTACGGTATCTTCAACTGGACTGGTGAGAACTGTGCTCATGTTGGGCTAATTCATTTTACATGCTATAGTGATGTACAGTAATTGAATGTATACAATAAATTATAATAAAAATTTTTAAAAAGAACTATTTTCTTAATTACACAGAATAATTACTGGGAAAATTGGTAGGATGAGCAAAACCTTTCAGAAATAAAAAAATAGCAAATGTAAACTTTTTAGCTGTTTGGTGTCTGAAGTGTGCCTTAAAACCAATTCAACATCCAGGAAAAGAAAGACTTATTCATCAGTGGGCAAGTGTGTGGAGAGGTGGAGTCGGAGTTTTAACCTTTTTCTCACTGATAGTAGAAAGATATCCACCCGCATTCTGAATGAGTCAATGATTGCTAATGACTATAAATTTGTCATTTTTTCTATAGGTTAAAATATAAGTACAGACATAATAAAATAATGCTGTCTTCTCTCATAAATTTTTATGCTCATAAATTTAAGGACTAGCCTGATTGAGAAATCTAAAGTGGATTTACTTGAAATGCCGACTGCAATGACAAGGGAGAGGCAAGGCAATATATGTGTGAGTATCCAGAATCTCACCATTTATTGCACAGAGGCTTACAGACTCCCTGCCCGTCTCTGCTTCATTGGGGAACAGGAGGTAAGGACTTCCAAGTGCTCCAGCTTAACAACATGAGTTATTGTTAGGATAGTAGCAATGATGTTTTACATTACATATCTACTTCATTCTGTCTTAATTGTATTTTATTTATTCTGCCAGGGCAAAATTAAAATACCTTCTTCATCTTATGTGTTCCTTATCTAAATTGATTTCAAGTAAGTAAATTCGCCCTTAGGAGCATGTGGGGAGAGTGCCTGACAGCCACAGAGCCTTGAAGAAAAAGTCGAAGACGTACCTCCTGAGAGCCAGCTGGGCATTCCCTCCAGTATTTCTCATCTTAGCATTCATTATAAAGCTTTCCTATTCAGACTTAGTGCAGCACTGATGAGGAAAGATGATGTCCTACTTCTTGATTACAAAAGTATTTTTTAAATAGTAATTTAGTGAGTCTTCTAATTACGATATTAATAGATATTATGAAAGTTTTGAAAAGTAAAAAAAGAAAAAAAGAATGAAAACTCTAATTTCAGGGTCCCACAACACAAATATGTCATTTCTTTCAGAAAATTGTATTACAGAGTGATCCTACATTCAGAAAAATCATTCTAAAACAAATCTGATGCTTTTCCAGGAGTTCCAGATCACAGCAAGATCACCATGGAATTACTTGTTAAAGCAAACACCCAGTTTGCCTATGATATATTCCAAGAGTTTTTAAAATTAAAGAAGGACAACATCTTCTACTCCCCGATCAGCATGTCATCAGCATTAGGAATGGTCTTCTTAGGAGCCAGAGGAAACACTGCACTAGAATTCCAGAAGGTAGATGTTGGCTGCAGTGTATTGACTTGTACGAGTTCTTGTCTGTCACTCTGTGGGCTACTGTGTGGATGGTAACAGAGATAGAGACTGATGAGTAGCACAGGGGCTGACCAGGCACTCCAAGCCATGATAAGTCACACCCTCCCTAGTGCTGGCTCACCTACTTCCTTGAACCCAGACTTCTTCTGGGAGCTGGATGACCTAAAACTGCCTCCCAATGACAGGCGAGTGTAAAATACAAAGACTTGGTAGGAGTGATGCATTGACTTATGTCTAAGAGAAACATTGTCAGTGAGTTCCTCAGAAATGAATAAATAAGATTCTTCTAAGCAAGTGGAGATCAGCCAGCTTTGCTGTTTCTTCAAGAAGAAACTCTTGCACTGAAGGAATTTTTTTTTCCTCCTTATTTGTTTTTCTTTACTTTGGTTTGTTCTGTGAGGCTTATTTTGATTTTTTTTCCTCAGATTTAGAGCTTTTGTGTAACCTTTCCTTGTCTCACTTTCTATGTCTTCTAGACCCTTCATTTGGATGCAGTCACAGAGTGTACAGCAGAGACAACTGCAACACGTCACGTGAGTCATAGAGCCTTTCAGTCCAGAGAGAACTTCAGAGAACTGAGAGGGTCAGAGAATAAACTGAGACAAAACAATTTTTTTCAGTAAAACCCTGGACAAAAGAAGAGTGATACATACAGAGTGATTTCATATTTCCTGATACATACATACTATTTTCATTCTTTTACTGAGAAAAGGTCAGCATTGTACTTTTAAAAAATGGATCCAGAGCCAGAAAGTGGAGGTTCAAAGTTTCATCCCAGGTAACCAAGGGTAAAAAAAAAAAAAAAGGAATCTGACTCAGCATGTACAACACATGCAAACAGTTACAACATTGCTAGCCTGAAGTAAGCCATAATAAACATTGTTAGTATTACTGTAATCCCCCCTTAGCTGTGGTTTTGCTTTTTCAGTTTCAGTTATCCAGTTTGAGACAGGAAGATCATGTTCACATAACTTTCATTTCAGTATATTGTTATGTAGTAGCTCTATTTTATTATTAGTTATTATTGGTCATCTCTTATGGTGCCTAATTTATAAATTGGACTTTATATCATAGGTATGTCAACAACAACAACAACAAAAAAAAAAAACAGAGCATATGTAGGATGCAGTACTAGCCATAGTTTCAGACATCCACTGGGGGTATTGGAATGCATACCTCATCAATAAGGGGGGTCTACTGTATTGTAAAATAATTGTAGTAATCATAGTGTTACTAAAGTTATTTCATTTTAATAAACTCATTAATGAAATAAGAAAAAGCCAGCACAAGTATGTTTTGGAAATGGATTGTTATTAGATATACTGGTTTTAAGCCTTAAAAGTCCAAAATTCTAAGTTGTAGAACAAGATATTCTGGACTCAGACAAGCTTAGATTCAAAACTATTCATTTCCATCACCATGCAGAGGTTATTTAATTCACTGAGCTTTCTCATTTTCATCTGAATTGGACTAAAGACTTAGAATTGCCTGTGTGAAACCCTCGGTTGAGTATCAAGGACACGATATTCTTACACACAGAAAATGACTGTCATGAGAGAAGTGCCATAGTTCTTGGTTCTCAGGTCTTAGAAATGATGTGTCCGAGGGGTAAGATAGGGCTTCTTGTCACAGCATGTTTAAAAGATTCAAGCTTTACTATAATCATATATTCCTGAAAACTGAGAGAAATTAAATACAGTTCTTGGCCTTAAGAACTTTAAGAGTTTAGTTAAGAAGCTAAACTTAATCATTTCAACTATGAAAAGACAATCCAATCGTAGAATGGTGCTGCATCTTTAGTTCAAAACTGAAAAGGTTAGAGCAGGTAGCGAGACAGAATTTTTCGGAAGAGATTAAGGTAAGGTGGAGGGACCAGCAGTTAGCATAATTGCTATGTCGCTGAACTCCCATGTAGTCAACTGCGGTTCTAGTCCCGGACCCGGTGGCTTAAGCTCACACCGGACGCATTTGCATGCGTGCCCAAGATCCCGAGGAGAATGGAGAAAAGACTGCAGTGTGGCCACCCACCTGGGGGAGGGTGATTTCTCACTTTCTGTCTCTCTGTCTCTCTCCATCTTTCTGGTGCGTGCACATGCCTTGTAGCAAAAAACTAAAAAAAAAAAATAAATAAGTAAAGTGGATTTTCAAGGTATTTGGATCAAATACTCCAAATATCAGGGAATAAACTCAAAGGTCATTTTAAGACCACCAAACATTAGCTATTGATCTAACAGGATTAGCATGAGTTTAGTATTTACATTGACAAGAGTAATTCAATGAGCTCTCTTTTGAATGTCTAAAGGAAGAAAAGTCAGAAATTGTACATCACCAATTTCAAAAGCTTCTCACTGAATTAAACCAACCCACTGATGCCTATGAGCTAAACATCGCCAACAGGCTCTACGGGGAAGAGACTTATCAGTTCCTTCAGGTAAGTGTCACCTGGTCTACCGCAACTTTAATCTGCATCGTGGGTCTTATGTCTATAAATGATCCAATGGGGGACAGTGAGGCAGACCAGCTGGCTGACCAGATTGGGAGCATTTATATAGAGTGCATCAGCTCCACTAGGACTCTACTTCACTGGACAGTCCCAGACTCTAACAACATACTGGTAAAGTGTGGCTTTAGAGATTCACTTATAATGAAAGAGAAATTTGGGTAGCATATCCTTACTAGGAGATGCCATTAATAATAAGCACTGACTCCGTCACATAATGCACACTTTGGTGGGAAATGTATGGTTCATGGAGTATTACTGGAATGGGTTGGCTTGAATGAGTTCCTGGGAATAGTTGGGGAAGTACCAGGGAATACTAGATGTCCAGTATGGAAAGTATAAACAAGGATCAGAAACATTAAGGGTTGAAATTACTGGTGACAAGTCTCAGAAGCATTTATCTCCTGGGAGCAACCTGCTTTGCAGGTTGCAAATCAGTCTTTTCTGTCCCTGCCTTTGTCTGATGGTTTTGACCTTTAGTGACCTCCTTTTTGTGCCACCTTGCACTCCTCTCTCATGTCACCTACGTAACACCTGTAAAAAATATATGTGGGCAGGAAATGGTAAATTTGCTTAGGACTGGATTCAGCTTAGAGCAATTATAAATAATTAATTTGGTGATCCATAGTTACTGATTATACATAATTACCAATTACCTTTAATTCCTCCTTTCTTCCTCTTCTCAAAGGGATATTTGGATGACATTAAGAAATTTTACCTAACTACTGTGGAATCTGTTGATTTTGCAAATGCTCCAGAAGAAAGCCGAGTGAAGATTAATTCATGGGTAGAGAGCCAAACAAATGGTAAGTAAGGGGTGCCATTCAATGTGGGAACTCTTTTCCATTTTAGCTGTGACTGAAGGGGGTTCTGGGGGTGGACATTGAGTTGAGTTTGCAGACAGGTTGAAGGAGGGCACTGCAGATGAAACGGTTCAAGTCAATATGGAAAGAACAAAGGAGAACGAAGAAAGGGATCACAGGAAGCTGATTATGTGAAAACACGGCTAGAGAATTGTCTGCTTATGGCACTGGATAATAGTATCCTTGTGGATCCTTAATCTCTGCTCATACCCATTTTGAGATCTTCTCCTTCTCTTTAAATCAAAGTTCACTTTTGGTTATGGATATTTAAGAGAAAGCATTAGTTAGCATTCTTCTCTGCTATATTAATCAGGAAACAAGTAGCCCTGCTCTAAACCACTCTTCTTACCTCCTGAGCTGGAGCAGCCTAGGACACATTCCAGCCACCCTTTCTGCAGGTGTTATTGCAGCCATGACCACCTACCCTACCTTCCACCTCTCATTAAGGGCCAAGCCTACAGCAATCTAACACGAGAATACTAAGACACCCCAGAGAGTCATGTCTGACAGCACAGGGCATGTGTTTCAGGTTACAGAGTTTATGCCATTTGTCCCAATTAATAATAAGGCCCTACTTCCTCTGAGTAGTATGCTGAAGTTGAAAAAACTAGAAAGGAAGGTAGAGAAGGAAATAAAAAGACAAGATACATTTAAAGAATAAATAAAATGACTTTATCAGTATTCAATGTACAATGACCGAAGCCATCTATAGACAAGAACCTGAGCTCCTTTCCCAACACAAGGAGTGGTGTCTCCCTCAGGGGTAATTATGTCAGGCCGACACCTGAGGAACTGTCCATCTACAGAACCACTGGTCAGTGAATCAGTAAAGTAGTGACTTGGGTGAATAATAATTAGTCACGGACTTTCACGAAGCCTCTTCTAGACTGCTTGTACCTTTTTTCTTTCCCATACAGAAAAAATCAAGGACCTGTTTCCTGATGGGACTATTAGCAATAATACCGCACTCGTTTTGGTGAACGCAGTCTACTTCAAAGGACAGTGGGATCAGAAATTTAATAAAGAAAGAACTGAAGAAGCAGAATTTTGGCTGAATAAGGTATTGTCTATATTTCATTTATATAATGTATTAATAACCTAAAAAAGGTAAGCTGAGGCAAAATACGTAAGCAAAAAGGACTTTATGTGGGCATAAGTTTGAGGACTGCACCAGCCTAGATGAGCATAATTATCAAACATGCTGAAAAACATCTTTCAGCTCCTATGCAGATTATAAAGCAAAAGCCACAGAGAGAATGGAGAGAAGAGAGAACTATACAAGTTGTTTTGTGATAATTATCCTTGGCAACTAGGATCAATAAGATGGTGTCACTCTAACATTGGACAGAGAGTCTATAGGCAGATGTTCTTGCAGAATTCAGGTTGCAGTGGTCTTTGTACAAGGCTATGGTTCTGGAAGAGTTTCCTAAATAACTGTTTTTAGTCAGGCATGCTAGGATTCCTCCATTGCCTTCTCAGCTTGATTTAGTCAAGATTGACATAAATGACTCCATTTTGATCTTGAAAAACCTTCACAGTGGTTATGCATGGGATGCTAACTTTAAAACACATCTGGCGGAAAGTTATCACTGCAAGTTCAAAATAGAATTTGCTATACATGTTGTTTGTTTTGTTTGTTTTTTTGTAACTTTATTTATTGGGTTGTCACAAAAGTCACAACGCATTTTTGCATAGAAAAATACTTTTCCAACAACCCAATAATTAGGCATATTTAAACAAATTTTTTGCTTCTTATTCACAAAATTCCTTGGCTATCTCTTAGAAGGTGAAGGGTGTGTTTGATATCTCAATACTGTTATCTTTTTGTTCTTATGCCCACTTGGCATTTGTTTGACACATTAATTTATCACAGGATACAAGCAAATCTGTGCAAATGATGAAACAAAGTGAGTCATTTAATTTTGCCTCTCTGGAAGATGTGCAAGCCAAAATTCTGGAAATCCCGTACAAAGGCAAAGATTTAAGTATGGTTGTGCTGCTGCCAAATGAAGCAGATGGCCTGGGACAGGTAAAACCTCACATCTCCAGTTCTTCCTTCTATTGCCTGATTTCTTCTGAGGTACCACGTCTAAATAAGGGAAAAGCTTTTCTAGTCCAAGTTACCTTAAAATAATGGAAAGTTGAAAAAGAGGAACCATGATTCATGTTGGTATTGCACAAACTCTAGCAGAGGGCCTGATATTCACTAAAGACTTAATCAGTTATTAATTAGGTAGAGTTATAAACATTAGATATTAATTTGATGATATTGTACAACAATTTAATCTTGATTGAGGAAAATATTCATATGTTCACAAATATGTCAAGCAACAAGCTGAATATAAGTATGGTATACACTATAATTATAGTATGTACTAACCAATGTGTACAGATAAATAAGAAGAGTTTATTTAAAATTGGCACATGTAATAGGCTAGTAGCATAAGGAATAGTGATACACAGTTCATTTTGTACAAAAAATTGATTATTCTGTTTTTGTGCATACATATATACATATGCACTTACATATATATTAAATAAGTACACTTATATATTCAGAACCATTATTTTTATTATTAGCCTAATATCTAATGAACTGAACCTTCTGTATTTTACATACACTGTAGGATCCAAATTTTCCATATAATCAATTCTTTATTAAAATCCATTAAAGAGCTATCATTAGTAACATCAGTTTACTTTCCATTTTTATAGCTTGAAGATAAACTCACTTCTGAAAAGTTAATAGAGTGGATGAGCTCCCAGAATATGAACAAGAGGCAGGTGGATTTATGCTTACCCAAGTTCAAAGTGGAAGAGAGCTATGACCTCAAGGCCACACTGGAAGCTATGGGGATAGTGGACGCCTTCAGTCCACAAGGTGCTGACCTCTCCGGCATGACCGGGAGCCGGGATCTCGTGGTGTCTAAAATTATGCACAAGTCCTATGTGGAGGTGACTGAGGAGGGAACGGAGGCTGCAGCTGCCACTGGTGCACTTGCTGTTCCAATGTCAATGCCAATACGTGAAAATTTCTGTTGTAATCGCCCTTTCCTGTTTTTCATTAGGCACAATAAGACCCAAAGCATCCTTTTCTTTGGTAGAGTTTCTTGCCCTTAAATGCAATTAGCCCATCACTACTTTGGGGAACAAAAAATTGATTACTAGAAATAGCAGATTATCTTCAATTCATTTTCCTTTCCAATCTTGGTCGTCATCAAGAATTTAATAGTTGAAATATTGTGTCTTTCTATCTTTTTCTTTCTATACACTCATATAAACCTACATTTTTTCCCCACAAAAATTCCCTTTGGGCAAATGTTTAAATTCATAATATTAAAAAAATTTTAATATTAAATCTTCTAAAATTGAAATATATTTCTGTTTGGGACCTGTTTTAAATAGACTAAATCAAATTATACTTTCCCTTCAAACTTCGGGAACCAGCAGTTAGCATAGTGGCTATGTCGCTGGACTCCTACGTAGTCAACCGTGGTGGCTTAAAACTCACGCTGGGTGCATGTGCCGGCGTGCCCAAGATCCCGAGAGGAGAATGGAGGAGAAGGGATTGAGG